CCCCCCCCCCCCCCCCCCCCCCCCCGAGTGGCTGAGAAAATAGTTCCTGTATTTCCACCGCATATACCAGCGGTCAAACTACAAACTAGTTCCTTGGTGAAGGATACAAGCTTTAGTGCGTCAGTTACTTGATGTCGTGGTCCATTCAAAATCTGTCTAACTGAAAATGACAATTAAAAAACAAACACAACAACGGTCTAACGTTTATATCCCACTGCCGCTATTATAGCATTTGTGTACCTGCCAATATCACTAGATTGCTAGACATTGCAAGAGATTTTCAAGGCTGTGAGACTTCTGATCAGAAAAAATCACTGACTTCATGTCATACGCTCGTGGTATGTGGCGTCTGCTATTTCTTCGCTTCATTGAAGCACGTGGTCAGCGTGCATATGACCGCGTCGGTCTCGTTTTGGTTATCACTGAGCACTAATCAGTTTAAGTAACTTAGCGAAATTTGTCCATCTCGGACTCATCTCCGTTGTCCACTTGTCACAAACCAATCATTACAAACCCTTGGTGGATGGTTATAAGCCCTGCATCTAGACGTTGGCCTCTGTGCACGCCAACTCCCTAGTCCGAGTAATACCGCTCCGTATCGGACGTATCGGACGCACCGGATGATAGCTGAGTTTGGAGGTGGTGTGAGGCGTTAGTGTGCACATATATATATTGTTATGAACGGATGAGATCTTTAGCTCCTACAACATTACCCGCAGATGCCGTCCAGCGCCAATAACATCAGGAATATTGTAGTAGTCGGCGCAGGTCGACATTATTCATGCAGTCATACCGCAACGGTCTCACATGCATTCGCGCAGGTGTCGCCGGTTTAACAACAGCAATCACGATACAGGAGAAGGGTGGCTACAGCGTAACCATCGTCGCGGAGACATTCCCCAGTGATCCGAAGACGATCAAGTACTGCAGCTTCTGGGCGGTGAGTCCAGCCACGGTTGAGAGAGATCAAAGTTATGTGACTGTGTTGTATTATAATACCATAGGGAGGACACCATGTCAGCCACGCCGGTGGGGACGCCAGGCTACAGAGTGAGTGCATTCTGTATTTCTAGCTGTACTATGACGATCGAAACACAATGCTCATCAATATCCCGATCTGCCACTTCCGATCCAGAGATCGACTCGGATACATTCAAGATTATGTGGGACCTTTCTGCCCCGGGCGGGGACGCAGAAGCATGCTTCATGCGCATTTCTGAGACTCAATATTTCTACGACGGTAGAGATGCGCACTTAGATTGGATGCCCGACGTAAGTCATCGTACTGCAGGCCGATAGGTGATCTAATCGCTCTGCGCATAGTTCAAGAGGCTGCCTGAAGATTCACTCGTTCCAGGCGCGAAAGTAGGCGTGACATTCACGACCCTCACCTTCGACTGTCCGAAGTATGTGAACTATCTCCTCGCGCGGTTCCTTGCGCGTGGCGGGACGGTTGTCCGTGGCTCGGTGCAGCATGTTAATCAGGTCGCCGAGGGCGGCGCAGATATCTTCGCACGTGGGCGTGCGTCGTCTGCGCCCGTTGACGCGGTCATTGTGTGCCCTGGCTTGGGAGCCCGTACGCTCGGCGGTGTCGAGGACGACCAAGTCTATCCCGTCGGGGGCCAGACTGTCCTCCTCCGCGCGCCGTGGGTGACATTTGGCCGCTCCGCGAGCCATCTCTCAGAAGCCCGCTGGACATTCACCATTCCTAGGAAGAGCGGCGAGGTATGTGGACTTGTGCATGTTCGCCTGACGACTTGTTTTTGCGTGGTTGACCGGCGACTCGCGGATCTGTCGCGGCTGTTGCGATTTTACCTAGATCATTTGTGGTGGCACGAAGGTCGACAACGACTGGTACCCTGTGCCGCGGCCTGAGACGACCGAGGACATTTTGAAGCGATGTCTTGCTCTCTGCCCGGAACTTGCGCCACCGGAAGTCCGGGCGGTGCGTGAGCCGACCGTGGACGACATCCGATCTCTCATCCTAGAGGAGGGTGTCGGGCTAAGGCCGGCGCGGAAGGGCGGCATCAGGCTGGATGTGGAATGGATAGAAGGCAGAAAAGGCCAAGGCAAAATTCCAATGGTGTTCAACTATGGGTGCGTGCGAGCTGTTCTTATGAAATGGTAATAATCGTTCTTACATCGAGCAGGCATAGCGGGGCGGGATTTCAATCATCCTGGGGTTCTGCGTCGATTGCTTTGGATTTGTTGGAGAAATCATTGGATGGTTAGTTATAAAGTACCTCCTTCAGGCAGCCGTTATCATAATGATAAGGATGTATTAGCATTCAGTTTGTAAACAATTGTACAATACTAAGAATATTGCGTTGCGTTCCAAAGGTACACGTTGTGTTTACCTATCCTCGTCGTCAACAAGACAGACCACCTTTCCCGCTGCAGAATTTGCCTCCATATATGCGTGAGCCTTGCCCGTATCTTCCATTTTGAATACCCTGTCTACGCTAGACTTAAGCTCTCCGAAGGCCACTGCATTGACAATCCACTGCAGGGGGGCTGTTGAAATGTCGAGATAGTGAGACGAACACATCGCCAAGTGCTAAAATAAGACATCACTATTAAGATGATACGCCGCAGGCAGGAGCGGGACAACTGACCTTCCAAGGAGTAAGAGCTTGCATTGGGTCAAAGTCCTTTATTGTCCACTCCCCAGACAGACACCCTATCATCGACACCACCCCATTGTCCGCAAGGCTCGCGCACGAGTCGACCAAGGTCGTTCCACCGACAAGCTCTACACACTTGTCCGCACCTCGGCCTCCAGTTGCCTGCTTGACATCCTCGCTGACAGAGTCGCTCCGGTCAATTAACACGATGTCCGCACCGGCGGCCTTGATGGCTGCGGTTTTATCCTTGTTGCGCGTGGTCGAGATCACAATCGGTCTAGGGTCTGTGGCAAAGAGCGACGATTTGGCGAGCGCCGCACAGGCAAGCCCGACGCTGCTTGTTCCACCGCGAATGAGGAGCGTGTCCGTCGGCTTCAAGTGCAAAGACTCGCTGAGTGTACCCCATGCTACCCAGCATGGATGAGCAATTACAGGTGGAAGGTGAAAGGGAAGCTAACCAGTGAGGAATGTCTCCGGAATAGCAGCAAACTGCGCCCAGCTCATGTCTTTGGGAAGTTGTACCGGAGGTGACACAGATTTGTGCGGGACGAGGGCATACTCCGCATATCCACCTGTGCATACAAAGAATATTTCATTATCAAGGGCGAGTAGACATTTGTCTCGCTTTGCAGACGCACCGTCGAACTGACGACCCATACCGCCCATGCAGGCAGCGACAACATCGCCCTCTTTCCACTTTGAGCTTCCGCCTGTGTCTTTCACCAACCCGACACACTCGATACCGAGCACTCTCGGGAAGTGTATTCCAGGCGAAAGACCCTGGCGCGTGAACAGCTCAGAACGATTGAGACCATACGCTTTCACGCGGACGAGAACATGGCCTTCCTTGGGCGTCGGCGCAGGGTGAGTGGTCGTGTAGACCAACTCGGACGGGGAAATTGGTACGCGCGGGCAGACGATGGCTCTCATAATTCGTGCAAGAGACAGAGATGATGCGAGTATAACTCCCTTTCTTTAAGTTCTTATGTGACGTCTGTCGTTGACACGCTCGTGATTGATGCTTATTGATAGTCCGGATATGTCTAGAAGCTGATGAGTTCATGTATGAATCAGTAGCCCCACTCACTCGCCGGCGCAGTTGTCCTGCAGTCGTGGTCGTCGCTCATAGGACTTTGGATAGCGGCTAGTTCGATCGCAGTCAACTCTGTCGTGTCTGAGCACTTACAAAGAGGAAACTCCCAAGTACGATCTAACCTCACTCGCCGATACAATTGAGCGACAAACGTGTTTACAAGGAGACATACATTACGCTCGTCGCTGACGAATGCTTGATCCTCGGTTTGCGCTACACCTACTGTACATAGAGGTACTGGAGAGCTTCGAGCTGCCTTGTAGAACGTATGAAAGCATACCGGGCGTGATGCGACATGGAGAAAAAAACATATGATTGTCTCCAATACAAAATGCCTATGCGCTCCTCGCAGCCGCAGCCTTGGCATCCTCAGCCGCAGCCACAGCCGGGTTGACCTTTTTGCCATCCTTCCACCGGACACGCGGAGGAGGTGCACGGTTGCGACGACCCTCACGCGAGCGGACTCGAACAACTTGAATACAATGAGTTCAGGCCCACGGTGTAATGGAGCAACCAACACATACCATGCGAGTGAATAGCGCATGATACACAGTATGCGATTTTAATGTAGAGCTTGGGGATGACGTATTCTGAGAACGACCGTAACGATCAAATCTCTCTGGCTAGGACATTGTGTTTTTAGCACGCACCGGGATACACACTGGCCTCGCTGATATCTCGCACGGCGGCACTCTCAACCATGTTGCGCACCGTGAAACGCTTGATCGCCTTGTCCTTGCCAACGCATCGCGAACAGTTGGAGCAACGGACAAACGTAACGTGGCCGCGGCCTTTCTTGTTGCGGCCGTTGTTTCTTCTCTTCTTGGTCTGTGCGACAGCGTTAGTCGGGTCATCCGAAGCCAGACCTCGCCATCCAGCTCATTCGACGTAGTTTTTACTCATTCCACCATTCAACATGCGTCTGTCTGGCAGGACTGAAGTCAGAAAACACACTCACCATCTTGTATCGGGGTGGCTTGAGGATTTAGGGAGTGGACTATCGACCCGATGAGCTCTGTCTGCTTACCGCTCGGTCTCAATGCAAATTATCGCCGGCCCTAAACTGAGCAGCACGTGACAGAAACTGGGCTTTGGATCGGATTGTCTGTCAATGTCGCACTAGACAATTAGAGGGTTCTCTTTTTGTTTGCATCTTCATATGAGGACAATGAAGACCTGCACGATGACTGATTTCCCCCCACATCGCGTCTCTGTCTGCAACATCTGTGAGCCTGGTGCTCATCGTCGCCTTGCCTGGCTGGACCCCGTCGTGCATTGGTATCATACTTTCGACTTGCTGAGATGTTGATATCTCGTGTATTCCTGGTTGTACCGCTTCTCGCTGCATCGCTCGTCTTCTCAATGCCTTTGGGGTCGCTGGACGCCGCCACATATCTGAAGAACGGACAGGATGCCCAGAGGCTGAACGCAGAGTTTGCTAGTTTAAACGCAAACGATACATGCCTATGTACGTGTCGCGTTTGTGTCATGCTAAGACTCGGCTGATTTGCATGTTGTTTCAGCTGGTCAGCGAGCGTGCATTTCTGGGTCTTATGCTCAATGCGTGCGCGGCCTTTGGAAGACAGAAAACTGCACAGCTTCTGAGCAATGTTACGCGTTGCCCGCGACAGTTAGGAACGGCACCGTACGCACTTCTCACCTTTCTCGTAATTTTTCTCTAATCAGACATCGCAGTTCCTATCATGCACGACTGAAGCCGTCGCTGAATCCATCATAAACGCCACCGGTGCTGCAGGCGGAATTGCGGTTAATGGAAGCAGTACCACGTCGAACGCAACCTCTCCGAAACAGCCGTCTTCACCTTTCTCCATACAAGCCATGACCACGAACACCGCGACACTCACGCAGGCATCTACCGGCGTTGTACCGTTGGTGTCAAGTTCGGGCTCCATCATTACCCTTGCCCCACAGACCACGATAGTGACAACCAGGACGCTGGATCCCGCTGAGGCTTCCAGTCTTCTTGCCAGTTTGACTGCAGATGGCTTGTTATCTTCCACCACTCCCATCAATTCGTTAGTCCCTGTCATATTGTCCTCTTTGCCTGTCATTACCCCCGAGCCAACCACAACTTTGAACATTGAGGTAGTGAATCACTTCAGCGGGACGTCGGCTGTGACATTCACGACCATGTGCTGACCGTATGCTAGTATTTTGAACTGCGTTAGCTCGTAGCTGACTGCTTTGGTAGAGTTTTGGTTCGGTTTATTAGATTCGACAGTCTACGCTCCGCGCGCGACTTCCCTTGTGTAAGATTAGCTGGTCATTACTGTACTGTAATAACCATAACCGGAAAACATTGTGTAGCTGTAATAATCTCGTAACATTCTCAAATGTATTGATAGTGGCAAATTCAACACCGGGTATGCAGCGCCTTTGCTAAAACACCCACTGTCGGCCGTCATGAGCACATAATCAGTTCCATGAGATGGACTACAAAGCTATCACATGCAAGTTGACTCTGGCAAAATACCATTTGCTATGCGCAACATGGAAATATGGCCTGTCAAGCTCGACCACTACGGTGCGACGCGAACTACTCGACAAAGCACATCTGAGGAGAAGCACAGTCACCGTGTTTCCGATAAATAGCTGAGCCCTCTGCCCGACGGGCGCATCTACGGCCTGCTTCACGTATTCCTGCTCTGAGTTCAGGAGCAGCTCTCTGCTGCTTGCGATATTATTCCAGTCCTACGCGCGCTGCAGCGCATACTCGAGCTCCGCTACCCACTCGGCAGGTCCATTCATCACGATATAGACGTTGCGCAGGTCTGCGCGCCTCTTCAACCCGTTTCACTATCTCGCCGAGGACAGAATAACATCGGCTGCGGAATTGTTCGACCTTCAGATCAGCTGGTGTGTCATCGGGAATGCCGTCATAGTCTAACATATTTGAGAACGCGTTACACCCTACGAAATGTGGCTCCCGCATCTGCGAGTATTTTGCAATGCTGCTAGAAATCCCCCTTCGGACGTGAAGAACCAACAGGCCAGGGGTGGCAGTAAAACGCTGTGCATTGTAGACGGAAGAGACAGAGAAGTCAGATAAGGATAAGGTTCAATTGTGGTAGATGGCGCGAATATTTACATTCCTCGGCTCATGTCGAAAATCACTCTACAAGTGAGGACCACCTGAATTCCGTCATGATAGATGACTTGGAAAACAGCGGCCATTGATCTCAAGAGTCTCGAAGCGTCTTGCATGACCCTGACTCCACATAAGCCCTGGGTAAAACAGTATGACAGCTCATAACCTCACCAGATGTCGAATATCTATCGTGCATTTCTTTCCTTTTCTACGCAAGAATCCTCGATATTGTCGAGTATTTCGACTCACTTTTGCACGAGTTTTGCTGTAGTGGTTGTCATCTCGCCGAAAGTATTCAATACGTCGTCGAGTTTGATCATTGCTGGTTCTGGACAGACCTGATCCCAGAATTCCTTCATCACAACTCGTGGTGCCGTCCCGTGGCCGAAAAAGGGGTTCCCAACTGCAGGACCGTTCAACGAGCATCACATAACTGAGACATCGAATCAACCCAACCTGCTATCAGAGCAGTGAGGGGGGTTTTCGAAGAAACGGGTTTCAAATTGTACCGCGTGTAGTTTGCTACACCCTCCTTCCAGGTGTAGTCAGTGAGAACGAAACTCGATTCCCATTGAGTAGAATGCAGACCAGGGGGAGGAGGGGCCTACGAGCGATTGGCACGATATGCGAGGCACGAATGTAGGAGCTCTTGCATATTATTTCCCTG